TGTAATGTATGTATGGTCGGAAGGGTAAGATGGCGCTGGCAAAGGTCGGCAGCTAACCCAACAAATTTCCCACACGTGGGACTAATAAAGGTTATCGTTGTCGTTATGTTCATGGCAAGAGCGAAAAGGATGGGCGAGATCGTGCATCTAGTGATAATCCCCTTTTCAAGCTTATCCCAATCAGAAGTTGTTGTTCCGGAAGTCGGCTTAGTAGTCCAGGATAAGGTTCCTGAACTTTTCCGGGATGTAGTACCGGTTCAGTGCCTGTTCTACCAGCTTATGGGGTAGAGATCCGTAGGCATTTGCGAGGTCAAGTCATAGTACTGCCAGGTCCCCTCTGTTCTTCTCCCTGGCTTCCCTAATGAGCTGTGTGGCCACGCCTGTATGCTCCAAGCACCCTGGAACCTTCGGGATCCCTCCTTTCTGGACTGAGTTCTCGATGAAGGAGTTCTTCAGAAAATATTCTATCAGCTGCTTAGCGACGATGCTAAAGAAAATCTTTCCTTCAACACTCAGCAACGAGATGGTTAAGAACTGATCAGTGTTTGGACTTATCCTCCTTTGGGATCCACACGCCCCTCCGCTTGTCTCCACTGTTTTGCTACCTTGCCCCTCCTCCAAATCACTAGTCAGTAGCTTTGGACAGTTCTTATAAACTTTGTGAGGTACTCCTCCCCATCAAATTCCTGCTCTGGTGCAGATGGGTTAATCAGGGCTTGACAGGGACCAAGATTTTGCTCATATTTCCATTGCCAAGAGTCGTATTTCTTTGATCGATCTGGTAGGATTCTCCTCAACCCCCCGGTAGGTTGACTTGTAGCTTTAGTGGGATCTTCCTCTGATACATCATCTGGTGCCCCTGGACAAATCATCAGTGATGTAACCTGGGGTCATTGGGGTTTCGGGTCTTTCAACAATCAGACCCCTTCTCCCAGGCAACCGCAGCTTTTTTAAACAAATATCTTATATATCAAGATAATATAGCAAGTTAAAAATATCTTGCTGGCATTGAAATAAAATTATACATGAAATACATGAAATCATGTATTGTATATGAAATTAGTATATATTCAAAAAAAGAAAGAAAGGAAAAGAAAGGAAAGAAAAAGAATCCTCATTTGTTTCAACATTTATATTTTAAAAAGGTCCAAACTTTTTTTTTTTTTTAAATGTTGAACATTTTAGAGCAGTGTTCTTTTGTTTTTACTTGACTGACACGAGCTGTCACACGCACAAAGGAGGTTTGCAGTGAGTTTTGTTGAAATTTTTAACTTAAAAAGATTAAAGCAGTTTTATTACTGATTGCAATGTTTTGAAAAATACATCATTCTGCTCTACTCTCTCATCTTCAGCTTGAGTTTAACATACTCCAGTCTAAGGTCAGCTGATCAGTTGCTTGTGGTTGTTCCTAGAAGCAGACTAAAACACAGAGGAGACCAGGCCTTTGCAGTTACCTAAACTTTGAAACAGTCTGCCTTTTCACACTAGGACCTCTGCAACACTCAACATTTTTAAAACCCATCTGCAGAGCACATCTTACTCCCTAGCTTATGATTGAGTTATTTTTGATTTTGTGTCTTGTCTTCTATATATATTATTTTTCTTTTCTTTTTTTCTCAGTTTGTACAGCACTTTGGTCAACCTGTGTTGTTTTTAAATTTGCTAACTTAATTTCTGCCCTATTCGATTCTTTTGTAGACTATTCTAGTCTATTCTATAGACTTTTCTTCATTTTGCTCCTGTTTTTCCTTTTTTTAAATTTGTGCACCTAAACGCACCGCTTTGCGCGCTCCTGCGGGTTCTCTGCGCGTCCCAGTCATGTGACAACACCTCACCACGCCTGCGCAAAGAAATACAAGATGGCGGAGAGTGCGGAACTGAAGGTAAGGCGCAGCCTGAAATCATTATAAATTTACTCGGTTGCGAAGCGATCGATTGTTGGGTCACACAGTTCTTCAGGGGTTTAAGTCTCATGGGGCAGAGATCCTGTCAGATTTTGTGTTTATTGGGCAAAAACTGCCGGAACTTTATTGAACCCGCGAGCGCCAAAGCTCGCACGAGCATGTTTATGTTGATATTGAGACGCGCTGGTTTGGCTGAACTGACCGTTTTCTTCGGCACACCAGATGCTGGCAGGGCGGTATTCACTTCACAACCAGTCTCTGCCTCCTCTTTAATCCCGAAAGAGACGGTTCTTCTCCTCGCGGCAGGGGCAGTTGTCTCCATGCCGACTCTCGGCTCGTAAATTCGGAGAATATAACGTCGGTTTGCGGGCTTTGACGTGCCGACAGCCTCCAGACTGTCAGTGTGTGTGTGGACATGACAGCGGCTGCACGCCTGTTGGTTTACGTTTGAAATAAGTCCCGTCCAGATTAATGAGCACTTATTAATAATTAGAAACTGTCGTGCGTGGTGTCCGGGCAGAGGCCGAGTGTGGCCGCGGGCGGAGTAACACTATCCCGCCTGCTCAGTAATACCAGCGACTCCTCCGTACCTGTTGATACACGCACAATAAGACGCACCGCTTCGCCTAACGGTGCTCCTGCAGCTGGTTGCCCGTTATATCAGCACCAGGTGCGGCTTCCTCGCCAGGGCATCCGACGCGCACCTTATTCGCTGTATTGCCTTGGCAGCGTGACAGAGCCCAGTTTGAACATATCTAACAGTTATTGATCAGAGTCTTGGGCTATTTTTAGATCCCTCCCCCCTCCGGTGTGTTTCCACTGCCTGTCCGGGATCTGTGGATCTATACGTGCTCCTTTGTGCCAGCTGCTGCTCAGCTGCACTCACTGTAATGAACAGGTTTGTAGATACATCCTCTGCCTATATTGAAAACACACGTGTGGTCTTAATATAAAGCTTTGCAGTTCATATTTCAGATATGTATGAACGTGTGTGTGCAGTTCTTATTTGAGACACATGTTTTCTCCACATTTTTATTTTCTTAAGTGCTTGCAGTAGGGCAGCAGCTGCTGTTTATTTTCATTGTCATTTAATCAGCAAATAGTTTTCTAGATCTCCCAGTGGGAAAGAGTGCGAAAGCCTAATCTAAGAAATCACCTGCAAACACACTGTCTAAAACATAGAGACCCAGTCAGTGAACTGATGATCAGCTTTTTCTTTAGATTTGCCTTTATGATTACCTGTCTGCCCACAAACATGGCTCTAGCCCTCCTTGTGGATTTTTTTGGATTGTACTTCAAATAAAATTTGAAGCACGATGTGATGAGCGTGTTTAGCATCATGTTTGGAACGGGACAACAGATTTGTGCAATGCTGCACCTGCTGATATGCACGAAAAGAATGGTGAGGATTTCTCGCATTGATCGCTGCTGACTGTTCAGTAATGATGAAATGCTGATGAAACTTCACACCGAGTATTTATAGATTTGCAGCATCATACAGGAGCCATAAAAGGTGCTGAGGAGGATCTGAGAAAGTGATTTATTGGTTACAGTTTCAGGTCTTTGAAAGTGTTAAACTTACGGTAGTCATGCACTTCCGATTTCCCGTGGACAGCGTCAGATCAGTGACGACTCAGCTGATCTGTGGTATTCAGAAATTCAAATCAAATTGGAAAAAGGGTTAATGCAGCAATGGCGTTTAAAAAAAAAAAAACAACACTTTTTTTTTTTTGCCCCTTACCTCTTGAACTGTATGGTTGCTTTTTGTCCTAAGTGTGTGTTTCTAGAGCTCTGCTCAAACAAGTAAGGCAGTGAACTTGTTTGAAATGCTCGACCTGAGCTCAGTGTAGTAGCCCAGTATGCCGTTACACTTGGTAAACCTAAAAAAGGTGCACTTCACCTGTTAAACGAGTAGTTGCTTGCCAAACCTCCTGCGTGAAAGGAAGTGTTTGATCACTTTGAGGGGCTTTAATTGCGTCTTTCTTAGAACATGCCGAGGTAAGAGTGAATCATTCTAGTGCAAATTTCAGAGTGCATTCCTTCCATTCCTGAAGCATTTTAGTCAAATGGCTCGCGAACAAAGAGTTTTCTGAAAGATGCACTTTCTTGCTGAGCAGCACAGATTCTGCAGTTTTGGAATTTGCTATTAATCCAAAGTATGTCCAAAAAATGAAAAACAATTAAAAAAAAAAAGTGAAGCCCGGAGTGATTGTGGCTCAAGAGTTGGCAGTTCGTCTTGTAATCGGAAGGTTGCCGGTTCGATCCCCGGCTCGGACAGTCTCGGTCGTTGTGTCCTTGGGCAAGACACTTCACCTGTTGCCTACTGGTGATGGCCAGAGGGGCCGATGGCGTGATATGGCAGCCTTGCTTCTGTCAGTCTACCCCAGGGCAGCTGTGGCTACAACTGTAGCTTGCCACACAGTGTGTGAATGAATAGTGGAATTGTAAAGCGCTTTGGCTGCCTAGAAAAGCACTATATAAATGCAATCCATTATTATTAATATCACATCTCAGACCTGTGGCAACTTTTTAACAGCTGCTTTAACGCTGTAAGATTTCAGCACCCATCAAAAATGAATGCAATTAGGCAGAAATTGGGCAAAGGGAAAACAAAAACAATAATAAAGCAGGCATCTCTGCTCCTGGAGCTCCCACACAGCTCTCTGCAGAGCGTGGGCATGCATCATAGACCTGTAATTGGCCAACAAAGCCCAGAGGAGGTGCAGGTTCAGCTCCTTTTCAGGAATTACAGTTTGCTGAAAGGTTACAGAGCCAAAATCATACCCTACCCCTGCCTTAAACAAGTGACATAGACACTGAAAAACACTTTATAAGACGGGTGTGAAAATAGAGTCAGCTCACAGTTGGGGATGATTCACAGTGCACCCATGATAATTTTAACACAGCTAAAAATAAAACCAAACTAATTTTATCTTTATTTATTTATTTGTTTATTTATTTTTCTGTTTTGGCTAAGCTGCAATTCAGATTTGACGACGTTTCAAATCTTTAATTGAAAAGTGGCAAAGCACAAAACGGCTGCTTTTCTAACAGGCAGGCATCTATGTTTCATTTTATGGATTTGAAGATTTTTTTTAAATTAAGCTTATACGCTTTTCAGCACTTTAAGGCTTCACTTAAACTCCTTTTTGCAGGATGATGTGCTGTGATTTGTTTTATGTTTCACTGAGGGATTTTTAGTGTTTATGTCAGAAAGTTCCAGTCGCTCACGGGGATGTGAGCAGATCAGATGAGCTCCAGGACATCACCATTTTAATTCCAGCAGCTCCTTCACACCTGAGATTTTTTTTTAAGTGTTATTTTAACGAATGAGTGTCTCTTCTGTTCTTATACACCACGTTGTGGTTTTGTCACTTTGGGTGATAGCTGAGATGTTGTGCACTGGGTTGGCTGGTCCTACTTCTGAGCTTTTTGTGCAAGTGTGGAACTGTCACAGTGTGTGAAAGAAGCGAACGGCATTAATGAAAAGGAAAGCGTGTTAAAATCGGCGCTCTGGCAATCTTTAAGCACAGCTCTCTGCTGTACGAGACGTACCGCTGCAGCAAATGGTTTTCCATCATCGCAGTCGAGCACCAAATGTGAACTTTCTGATGTTTAAAATAAGAATCTGGTTGATAGCCAGTGCTCTAACAGTGTTTGTGGATATTTATTGTCTTTTATTTTTATGCCAGAGAGACAAATATTCATTATTAATGAATAACTGTCACAGTGTCTTTGAATGAGGACAAATTGAGCTGGTTCACAAAAGAAGGGAAATAATCAGATTCTTTTATGAGGGAACTTGAAAAAGAAAGTAATTGGCTTTTTTCCTGTGGAAAATAAAAGACCAAAAAAAGAGATTAAAAGTTTTAAATTTATTTCCAAATGAGTCGTTGGTTATTTTTGCTCCTTAATGAGGTAGCGGATCGAGCTGTAACGACAGCCACGGTTTAGACGTGTCTGCTGGATTGTTTTGAATGTCACCAAATAATGAGAAATATCTATTGCAGTGTTCCTAAATGTCAAGGTGACTTCTTCAGATGAAAACCCACTCCGATTCAGTGTGCTGGAGAAGTTCATTTGTTTTGGGTTGCTTTAAGAAAACCCCCCCCAGAACTGTCATTTTTAGTTCTGCTACACACCCGTGAGCCACAGTATTACAGCCAATATACAGATGAAGTGCATGTTATAGTTATCATGCACAAGCAGCGAGCATCTTCGAGTGGACGTGTTGTGTATGGGAGAAATGGGCAGGTGCAAAGACCCGAGGGCCAGCTCGTTATTGCCGCGCGATTGTTTTGGAGCCGAAAGGATCCGCAGCTGACGTCTGAGTGCCAGATATCACAACCACCTTCAGAGGTCTTGTCCAAGCCTTGGCAAAAGACCAACAGCATTAGAGGTGGGACATGCTGTTCTGGCACGTCACTGTATATTGGTTTGCACTGCTGCGCGTTACCTTCAGGAGGCCTCAGGCTGTTTATTATCATACTTTGTGTGGTGAACTGCCGCACGAATCTGCAACGCATTCATCTCTCAGACACAATCCACGCTTGTGAAAGCCTCTGATGTCCCCCTACCCCCCACCACCACACACACACAGACACACACACAAAAAAAGAAAAAAGAAATGTGTCCTGTTGCGTTGCATTTTGTTTCACAGGAGTCCCGATCCTCCTCGGCTTCTTTGAACTGTCTTCTCTCTTCTCAGGAGCTGCAGCAGCAGCAGCAACCTGGCAATACAAATAACTGTCTGTGCGCTGGCGGCTTATAGGTGGAGACAGTCTATTTGTAGAGCCTGTGGCTAGGTTAATCCCTAATGATACAGGCACTCTTCTCTGCTCCCTTACATCCTTTCAGCACCTGCCTATTTCTCTCATTGTCACTGTCATTATCACTGCAGCTGATTTCCAGTTTAAAGAGGAGCAGACGTAAACGTGGACGGGGCTAAGTGTGAGTGATGACTGCTCTCGCGTGTTCGG